GTAAATTTATGATTTTTACCATTCTTTATGCCAATTTTTTATTATATCTGGGAATATTGACTTGTTTAATAAAATTTTGGATATTCGTGTTTGTTTATACATTGTATATCGCTTTATTTATGCTTTGCTTTCGCCAACTATTTTTGCTTTTGCTTTGTTTTTATATTTTATTTTAGACAAGGCTAAAACCTGCATCGCTTCCCCCACCACCCACAAAAATAAGCCCTCCTAAGGAAAACAACGAACACCTTAGGAAAATAAATCAACAACGAATTATTTTGCAAAAAGAAATATTTTGTTTCTTGATTAAATTGTTCCGAAGATTTTTTTTTCGATTTTTTCTGGACGCGGAAAAATTTTGAAAAATCAAAATGAGTACTCGCAGTAACTCAAGGGAGAGGACAGGGCAAGGGGAACTCACTGTAGAAAATTTGTTAGCTAGAATCCCAGACCAGTTCCAAGGGTTAACCGGCAATGACCTACGAACACACCTGGCAGACTTGCAGCTTAGCACTCAGGGTTTAGATGATGTTTTACAAATTAGATTAGCGAGATATTACGCGAGGGAAGCAGGCGATATAAACGTCTCGTGGGTTTCAGATGACGAAGACAACGGAAAACAAGAACAAAATACCAACACAACTGACAAAGAAATTACCGACAGAGACAGCCACAGACGAACACTATCGTTTCAAAACCCACACACAATGGGTGAAACCACCCCACACGGATCTAGAGTAGGTGGAGGGGGAGAACAGAGTACGTACACCCCCACCACACCTGAAAATAGACCAGGCGGGAAAAATAATGCAGCAAACAAAATAATAACGAACGATAGTCCACAGGGGGAAAACAGACAACCAGAAAATTATTCCCCCGAATTCGACCCTAGATACAAAAATGTTGACACGAGACCGAGAAACCGAAATCCAACTCACGAACAAATGACAGAGGAAATGTATAATTTTCCTTGGCAACAGTCAACCATGTTGACAGACAAACCACAAGTTAAGCAAGGGACATACGCGCAATGCCCCACATGCCACGCGCAGACAGTTGTCGTACCCGAATATCAGTACACGAACACTGTAGCGCAAACTCAGCAAGGTACTGTCAGACCTGGGAACTTATATCCAGTCACGAGTACTGGAACAAGATCCGAATGCAACCCATTACCGTCCGTAGTCACTAGTAGGGCCACGACACAAGGGACAGAACAGACGACAGTGACGTGGACACAAAATAATCCGACAAATCGCGAGTTTTACACCCAATCACAACCCCCCAGAAGAGAAGCACATGGGAAAAATCAAAACTCTGCGATGAATTCGAATATGCAATTCGACGAAGTAAGGCAACCACGAGATTCTCAACCAGAAATAAATAGAACAGAGGCCTCGTGGAGGCAATCAGATCAAATAGATTATGACTAATATCCCCAATACCAACCCGTAAGCGAGGATAGAAGATATAATCAAATGATTTCTAATATACCATACTTTAGTAGAAATCACGAAATGTACTTAGATTCGGGACCTAGGGTATCAAATGTATTTTCGGGTAGTAGAATGAACCAGTCAGACCTAGAAAGTAGTTTGTTTCCGTCAAGCAACCCGACTCGAGTATTAAGTAGAAGGGAGGAGTATGAAAACACCAGTTACTCCGCCCCACAAAATTTTTCAGGTTACGGACCACAGGAGCGCGACAATCGATTCGAATATCAGAAAGGACCTGCGGCACCAATATTAACTGAAAATAGATATTATTTCGCGAGACCAGACTCTTGGGGGGGACAAACAGGCTATAATAATTACTATGCCCAAAGACAGCCCCCATACAGAGACCAATACGCGAGACCAGACCCTTGGGGGGGACAAACAGGGTATAATAATTACTATGCCCAAAGACAGCCCCCATACAGAAACCAATACGCGATACAAGACCCTTGGGGGGGACAAACAGGGTACGATAACAATTATGCCCAAAGACAACCCCCATACAGAGAACAATTCGCAAGACCATCAGAATTTAACAGAAACTCATACTATCAACCCCCAAATTACCATAACTCAACCCCATACTGGGAAAGGACCACCTCTGGTTTTCAGAACAAGCCCAGAGACGTGGCCCGCATAGTAGAGGGATGGAAAATTAATTTTGACGGGAAAAGAGGTGCGAGCGTAGATAACTTCTTATGGAGAGTAGAAGAGGGTAGAGCAGCTTCGTTATTAACTGACGAAGAGATGCTTGTAGCTCTACCTTTCTTACTTAAAGGTATGGCGTGGCATTGGTACCGACAAAATCGCGGTAGAATCACAACGTGGAACCAATGCCGACGATTGTTTCAATTGAGATTCGGTGAAGAATTCTACCAAGAGAAATTAGAAGACCAAATAATCTCGCGAAGACAATACCCGAACGAACCAGTAGCGGATTATCTAACGTGTATGTACGGGTTATACGAGTTATCCACACGACCAGTAGACATGGAAATTCAAATGAATCGCGTACATTCTAATCTCAGGGCCGAATATAGGCGCGCTATTCGCAGGCACGAGTTTGTGGATTACAATAGTCTCGCGATTTTAGCCCGAGAAGTAGAAAGAGCGAACAGCATTGTAGACGACGAACAACCACCGTCAAACCCAGAAAGATACCTCATCCCGGAATACGCTTATAGGGAGGATAAAACAGACAAAAAGGAGGAAACAAAAGTCGCTGCAATAGCACCAGCTGGGAAAACAACGGCGAACGGAAAGAAGTTAACCCAGCTGGAGCAACAAATTGCCTCGTTAGTGGCCGCGTTAGGAAATAGTACTCAAATTTCCAACAATAACGATAACAACAGACAAACAAATGATTCCGGGGGTAAGAAAAAGAATTTACCAAAAGGTAATGGAAATTCAAAGCCCAAAACCACCGGAGAGACCCCAAATACGGACAAATCACAGACAAAAAACACATCGACAACTGACAGCGACAAAGAAAAAAAGGAAGTAATCTGCTGGAACTGTAAAAAACCAGGACATTTCCAGATAGGTTGTCCTTTTAAACGTAGAACAGATTACTGTAGACGCTGCGGTAAAGACGATACAACAACAAAAGACTGTCAAGGCTGTCCGGGAAACCAAAAAGGGGGGGAAAGTTAAGGGTCAACTTACCTCCCCCCAATACAGAACAGACACAAACTGACCAGGTTTCCGAGGAGCGGGCGGTAATACAGACACCGGCTAAGCCCCTCGGAAATGAGACTGAGAATAGTTCAAAAACAGAAACGACAATACTAGACAAAATCAAACAAGACAAGTCCCAAGATGCTGTAGTGAATAACCAAGGAGAAATCGAAACTACAGAAAATTCTAACTCAGAAAACAGCGAGGGTAGAGTGGTAGAAAACCCTTGGAAAGAAAATCAAGTAATTCTAGCCCACTTAAAGTCAGCCGAACCACAAGAACCCCTAGTATTAGAAATTTCAGTACCTCCACTAGAGCTTTCACAAACATTAAAATAGGAAACACTCCCAATATAAGAGCACTATTGGATAGTGGCGCGTCGAGAACGGTATTAGGCGAAATCGGAGTAGCAATCGCAGAACATTATGGAGCTAAATTGCACCCCGCGAAAGGCCAGGCCATCATGACAGCAGACGGCACGATACAAGAAATAGCCGCGACTTGTTACTTACCAATACAAATAGATAGAGTTTCCCGGGTAATGAAAGTAAACATAGTACCCGGGTTACAAGAACAAGTATTTTTTGGAATAGATTTCTTACACACGTTCGGAGTGATACATGACGGTAGTAAAAAAATCTGGTATTTGTCTGAATTTCCGGAAAATGTTCACAGTTACGCGGGAAGTCTTGCGGAAAGAGAAGTTAGTAATCAATCTTCGGAAGAAATTAGGTTAGACCACTGCTGCGGGTTAAAAGATATTTCGGAGGAAGAACTAAAAGAATTAGATGAACTGCTAGTAGACCTACTCACAAGTCCGCCAGAAAACCTCCCCGCTACGGATCGAATCGAACACAGTATTGACGTCCAGGGACACAAACCGGTTAAAGAAAGATCGTACCGAGTATCCCCGGTCGTCTTGAAAGCAATGCAAGACGAAACGAAACGACTTTTAGAGGCAGGGATAATTAGAAAATCGAAAAGCGCTTGGTCTTTTCCGGTAGTCATGGTACGTAAACCAGACGGCACATATCGGATGTGTATAGACTACCGGAAATTAAACGAAATAGCGAAAAAAGATGCGTATCCCCTCCCTAAAATGGATTTTATACTAGAAAAACTACGGGCAGCTAAGTATATTACGACTTTGGATCTTAGATGGGGGTATCACCAAATCCCTATAGATGAAAAGAGTAGAGAGCATACAGCCTTTACAGTCCCCGGCATGGGTCTGTTCGAGTTCACTAGGATGCCATTCGGCCTATCAGGGGCCCCAGCAACATTTCAAAGGTTAATTGACTCCCTGATTGGTCCCGAAATGGAGCCACATGCTTATGCCTACCTCGATGACATTGATATAGTAAACGAATCATTCAAAGATCATTTAGACTGGATAAAACGAGTAACAAATGTCCTCCAGGAGACAAAAATGACAATCAACCCTCTAAAATGTGAATTCGGGCGACAAGCGGTTAGACACATGAAGCGCCTACGTGAAGAGGCAGAAAGGAACCTCAGACGAGTGGAAAGTGACTTTAGGGCTACGGAGGAAGAAGCCAACAACGCGACACGGTCATCAGAAGGACCACTAGCCCAAAGAAGAGACCGAGTAGTTAGTCGTGACGAAGAAAGCGGTTCCGAAGAAGAGCGTCAAGACTGGTGGTAGTTTGGCCAGTCGAAAAGGGAGACTTTTTTGTTTTGTGGAAGAGATGTCAAAATGTGTATTTGTCAAGTGTTGTTTGTATGTGTGGAATTAGAAAAGTGTGAGATGAGGGCGGAAACCGATTTTTATTTTTTGATCTGTAACTGGAGTGGTCGAACGTGACCATGACGAATTATATGGTAAAAAGCATTTTTGAACTATCTTAATTTTTTGAAATGTGAGACTTAATGCCATTTGTAACAAAATTTATTTTAATGGTTTTATTTTGACAAATTTACTTTTAGGGTTTTCTTGTGATTATTGAAAATTAATCCTTAGAAATGTAATTGTTATTTAAAGGTTGTTTGTTAATAAGGCTTTGTAAAATGAGGATAGATTGTCCGTATCGCTTCGTTTATTTACTGATTTAGGATTACTGACAATATGTGTCATTTCAAGGATCATTTTTTTTTATAGTTATCAGATTGATCAATTATTTTAGTGTTATTGTAATCAAATGTATGGTCCCTATACCAAGCATGTTTAGTTAATGATGTCCACTGTTTAGGGGGTTTGTAAACATCTTTCTTGTGTTCGTTATTTCGCGTTTTAATATTTCTTTTTGTTGTGCCAATGTAGGAGGAATCGCAATTTGAGCATGGTATTTTATAGATTACATTGTGTAACGTGGATTATAAAAAGTCCACGTTTGAGATGTTTTCCCGAGAGTTCGCCGAAGCTTGAATAGTAAAAGAAAGTAGAGTTTGAAATTGCACAAGACCACCAGGAACCAACTGAAATTTAATAGGGATATTTTGCTATTAATTTCATTATTGTAATTTCTCTAATTATGTAAGTTATGTTTTATTGTTTGAAATAGAATTGTTTATTTACTTAGTTTGTAGAGGTTAGGAATCTGGGACGATGTCGAGAGGTGAGAGAGAGATTCAGACACATCGAAGAAGACGAGCAACATAGGAGACAACAACGCAACCTCTCACAACAAAACGCGATAATCGGCAGAGATGTAAGACACAATCCTGACTTAGCCATCCGGAGAAAACATTCCACTGGTTTTTCTCCGCCTGTCACAACACTGGAGCAGACGACGCCGATCTAGCGATGAGAAAATCGAAAGAGCATTTCCCAAGCAGGGAGTCATGTCCAGTTTCCGACGGCGCCAGCCAATCAGAATAGCCGTCGGAAAGAATGAAGCAGCCCCGGACCAAAACAGCGCTCGGTAGCCAATGAAAACACCGAGCGCCGCCAGCGGTGCACGCAAACACGGATTTTGGAAGCGCGGAGGCTGTCGAAGACCGGAAGTTGAGAGAAAAGAATAGTTGATTTCTGGTGGTTACAAAGAACGAAATTTGTAGTTGGTTTTCGAAAAAAATAAATTATAACAAAAGTTTTTTGACCGGATCCTGATGTCCAGGAAATACTGGGACGACGAAAGGAAGCGGCTCGAAGGTTAGTGTCTTCATCAGGCTGTCGTTGTCGCGTGAGAAGACGAAATATTGAGAAAGTGAGGTTAGATCGAGGGACGCCACACACCACGAGGACAAGGGAAAAGTGTACTCACGCCGGGAAGCAAATTCGGGTGTAAAGTGAAGTTAAAATACGAGATAACATTGTTTTCCGAGCGGACACAAGTATTTTGAATTAAAGTCTAGAAAATTTCCACTCGGAAAGATAAATTTCATTGAAAATTCATAGTAGCGAAATACGAAAGAACACGTGCTTAGTGAAAATTTCCCGGCGTGATCCATTACACAGACCAGCAGTGTCCTGAATGTCTCTTTCTTTCTCTCTCTCAACATTGGAAAAATTTGTAAGTCATATTCTCGATTATTGTTTCGTTTATTTAGTTCGTCCCAGGTGTTTATTTTATTAATTATTAGAGAATTAAGGTTTCACATTTGGATTACAGTAAAATTTGAAATTTGTAGTTAAAAAGAAAAGTTCCTAGCTAGGAACTTTTGAATTTCGATAAACTGTCACTAGTAATTTCCTAGCTAGGGAATTTTGAATTTCGAATAGGGAATGTTACGGTATAACCTAACATTAACTCAAATTTAAAATTAATATTTGATTCCTTAATTTTTTTTTACTAATTTTCAAATTAATATTAAAGTCCCCTCCTCACATTTTTTTTAAACCTATGCTCAGCTGAAAGGTGATATCCTGAGATATCACAAAACATAAGCTTACATCAGCACCGCACCGGAAACGAAGTTGGGCTATTTAAGCGCTTTCATTATAACTAGAATTAAAAGACTAGTTGAATAAAATTTATGATTTTCAGGAACTCATTAAAATAATATTATTATAATTTATACATATATATCGTACGAGTAATATTTTATCTGGATGTCTTGGGGTTTACCCTGAAATATCCCGGGATATTCCGTATATTTTAGTGTTTAATATTATAGAAATTACGTGTAAAATATCCTGGGATATCCCGTATATTTTAATTTAAATATTATGGAAATTGTTTGTGGATATCCTTGGATATCCTATATTTTGTTGTTTTAATTATCATGGAAATTGCTTGCGGGTGACCTCGGATGTCTCATGTATTTTGGTTTTTAATGTAATAGAAATTACATGTGGATGTCCTGGGACATCCCGTATATTCTTGATTTAAATGTCGCGGAAATTACTTGCGTGTACCCTTGGGTATCTTATACATTTCAGTTTCAAATATAACGTGAAGTGCATGTGGATATTCTGAGATATCCTACATACCTTAGTTTCAAATGTAATAAGAATTACATGTGGATATCTTGAGATATCCTACATGCCTTAGTTTAAAATGTAATAAGAATTACATGTGGATATCCTGAGATATCCTACATGCCTTAGTTTAAAATGTAATAAGAATTATATGTGGATGTCCTTGGATGTCTCATACATTTCAGCTTCTAATATTATAGGAATTGTTCTAGGATGTCTTGCATATTGTTGCAACAGTTTACATGTATAATAAAATTGTAATTACCGAAATATGAGATGATTGGATATCCGGGGATATCTGAGATATTTTCGCGAGTATGAGTACGTATGAAAGTATGTATATTTAAAATTCGCACTATTATTATTAAGTTTAAAGGGAACCTTTTTTTTTGCAAATCTTAATACTAATTAATAGAAAGAAAATAATCATCTTATTATACATCGCCTTCGAACCCATACACCTTTGGTTGGCTGTGGCAACGCACACGCATACATACGACTCCTACAAAACAGTATTAGCATGGCAGCATGCATACAGGCATAGTGGCACGCACACAGGCATACTATGTATAGCACGGGCCACTCACACATGGTTGGCCTCTACTCGTTGCTTCTTCTTCTTCGTTCCATCCTTCCCTCTTCCCCTAGGGCCCATGTGCTTTCAAACAAACGCACGTGCAACGATTTAAACAAAACATTATTTCCTTTTAAACCTAACAAAACGAACAAATTTATAGATTAAAGAATTGCCTCTCTCTCAGTTATTTCGCCATCCACTACCCTGAGATCACAATAAAATACATTCATGACACAGAGTGGTCAATTTGAACAAGTTTTCTAAAAATAAAATCCCGACTACGAAGCTCAGGTGAAAGTAAGTTCACCTGGCGCCCGGTCGTAATTAGTTTTACAACAAAGAAAGAGCCTCGTAGTAAATACTTGGAGGTTGGAAGAGCATAACCTCCAAGCTTCGTTTGTTTATATTTTCAAAAAGAGACTTGAGAAAAATTGCATCACAGATAAGTATTGATACATTGATTAAATTTGATAGTAAATTTTTGGTAATTAATTATTAACTAAAGTAAATTAAAACAATATTTTAAATAAAATAATGGACTTGAGCATTCTTGGCAAGATATTAAAGTGCTGAGAATCCATGTTACAATTGTTAATTTTTTCTTTTGGAATTTTGTCTTTTTGTGTATTGAAAATTTGTTGTAGATTATTATTTGAGCGGAAGGCTGTTTTGATGTTAAATGGTTTTAAAATACCACTGAGTTTTTCTGACAATCCTATTACATAAGGTAAAGGTAAAAAATTCTTTTCTGTTGTGTTGTTTGTAATCGGTTGTTGAGGTTGTACGTTGTTTGTAAGTTTTTGTTTAATTTTGACCATTCTTTCTTTAATAATTTTATTAACGAAATCTGTTGGATAGTTGTTTTCTGACAAGATTAATTCAATTTTGTTAATGTTATCCGAATGGAATTTTTTATTTGAAAGAAGCAAACTTCTATCAACAAGATTGTTAATAACGTTGATTTTATATTTAAGAGGGTGGTGTGATAGAAAATTGAGGATCTTGAAACTGAATGTTTATCAAAAATTCAATTTCATATACCTTTCTATTATCGTTACGTTGATGACATAATTACCGCGGTACCAAAAGATAAAATTGAGTATGTTTCCAAAACATTCAACAGCTACAATCACAAAATTCAATTCACAGTGGAAAGAGAAAATAACGGTAAAATTCCTTTTCTCGATATACTTCTTATAAGAGAAAAAGAAAAAATAATAACTAATTGGTATCAAAAACCAACAAACTCTAATAGGATCCTCAATTTTCTATCACACCACCCTCTTAAATATAAAATCAACGTTATTAACAATCTTGTTGATAGAAGTTTGCTTCTTTCAAATAAAAAATTCCATTCGGATAACATTAACAAAATTGAATTAATCTTGTCAGAAAACAACTATCCAACAGATTTCGTTAATAAAATTATTAAAGAAAGAATGGTCAAAATTAAACAAAAACTTACAAACAACGTACAACCTCAACAACCGATTACAAACAACACAACAGAAAAGAATTTTTTACCTTTACCTTATGTAATAGGATTGTCAGAAAAACTCAGTGGTATTTTAAAACCATTTAACATCAAAACAGCCTTCCGCTCAAATAATAATCTACAACAAATTTTCAATACACAAAAAGACAAAATTCCAAAAGAAAAAATTAACAATGTAATCTATAAAATACCATGCTCAAATTGCGATTCCTCCTACATTGGCACAACAAAAAGAAATATTAAAACGCGAAATAACGAACACAAGAAAGATGTTTACAAACCCCCTAAACAGTGGACATCATTGACTAAACATGCTTGGTATAGGGACCATACATTTGATTACAATAACACTAAAATAATTGATCAATCTAATAACTATAAAAAAAAATGATCCTTGAAATGACACATATTGTCAGTAATCCTAAATCAGTAAATAAACGAAGCGATACGGACAATCTATCCTCATTTTACAAAGCCTTATTAACAAACAACCTTTAAATAACAATTACATTTCTAAGGATTAATTTTCAATAATCACAAGAAAACCCTAAAAGTAAATTTGTCAAAATAAAACCATTAAAATAAATTTTGTTACAAAGGGCATTAAATCTCACATTTCAAAAAATAAAGATAGTTCAAAAATGCTTTTCACCATATAATTCGTCATGGTCACGTTCGACTACTCCAGTTACAGATCAAAAAATAAAAATCGGTTTCCGCCCTCATCTCACACTTTTCTAATTCCACACATACAAACAACACTTGACAAATACACATTTTGACATCTCTTCCACAAAACAAAAAAGTCAGTTTCGCTTGTACTGATTTAAGGTTCGTAAATTACAATGTTTTGGGATATTATAATTTGGATATTTCTTCTTTTTTTTTTGTTCTTTATATAATTATAAAAAACAATTAAAATAAAAAAAAAAAAATCTCTAAATTTTTTATTATGTTTCATATTAATATCTTAAATAATTTATAATTACATTATATTCTTTAACATAATTTTATCACGTCGTTATATAAAAAGTATATATTTTTTAAATAATTTTTTAGAAAATAAACGTCACTGAAGAAGGCTCCCACATGAGCTGAAACGTCTGACTTTAAATGAAAAATTAGTTTTTTTCTTTTAACCTGATCCTTAAAGCCAATGAAATATTACAACTAATTATTATTTAAGAGGATCAATAAAAAACAAAATGAATAGAATTATTTATATGGGCAATCAAAATTCATTTGTGAGAGGAAATGGTTTCCTCAAAAGAATGGAAGAAACGTATGGAAAAATTCCTGCATCTTATCAATCACAATGGTCTACGGCTAAAAAAACCTTTGCAATTAAATCAAATCAAAGGACTTTTCTACTACGATGCAAAAGACAAAAACTTATTCCGAATTTCATTTCGAGGAACAACTACTTAAATTCCGTACAATTTTCAAACAACAACATTAACGATCAACACAACAACTCGATTTTTAATTTTCAAATTAAAACTGTAAAATTAATTATTAATGACAATTGCGCTACATTACACAATTCAAACAAAAAATTAAATTTTTTAGAACAAAAAATTAAATTTTTTAGAACAAAAAATTAAAACAATTTTTCCTGTAAATATTTATCAAAAGTTTTTCAATTTAGAGTTAAAAAAATCAAATTTAGTTTTCTACAAACACAAAGTAAATGTAAATCCAAATTTGAATATCTTATTGCACAGAAAAATAATCAGAATAATCTGATTACAGAAAATCATGATTTTAACAACAAATGGTTCTTTAATACAACTGACATTGAAATACCGGAAATAGTTCAAAAAACTGCTAGTCTTGGTAAAAATTTTGGTCTTCCTTATAATTCAAACCAAAAAATTCCAATACAAGAACTTATAGCTGATTTTGAATCCAACATACACAAAATTGATGAAAACAAAAGAAATCCTGCAAGACTTAAATTTGTTAATTGCATTGACACTTTTTTGAAAAAAACAAACACAAATAACAATCAAACTAAAAACACTTCCTTTCAAAAACAATTACTGTCTAATATATCACACTCACACTCACACTTTTCTAATTCCACACATACAAACAACACTTGACAAATACACATTTTGACATCTCTTCCACAAAACAAAAAAGTCAGTTTCGCTTGTACCCTTCAAAAGGGAAGACTAACAGTTTTTGAGAAATGTTTTCTCTAAAAATGTACAAATTTTCTGTGTTACTTTGTGCAATAATTATGGATTAAAGTGTTTATTTAAGGTTCGTAAATACAATGTTTTGGGATATTATAATTTGGATATTTCTTCTTTGTTCTTTATATAATTATAAAAAACAATTAAAAAAAAAAAAAAAATTCTAAATTTTTTATAATGTTTCATATTAATATCTTAAATAATTTATAATTACATTATATTCTTTTACATAATTTCATCACGTCGTTATATAAAAAGTATATATTTTTTAAATAATTTTTTAGAAAATAAACGTCACTGAAGAAGGCTCTAACATGAGCTGAAACGTCTGACTTTAAATGAAAAATTAGTTTTTTTTCTTTTAACCTGATCCTTAAAGCCAATGAAATATTACAACTAAAAATATAAATAGTCTAAAACCAATAATGACAGTAAGATTCAAGTTTAAAAATAGAAAACAATTTTTTATTACTTCTAATAAGTGTAGACATTAAAATTAACATTAATATGTGTGAATTAATCTTTAAATTTTAAAATAGCTTTGCCAATATTACCCTTTATTTCTCTACTCTTCCATAGAGAATGTACGCGAAACCTTCTTTTTTTTCTCCGACGCAAAAGACATAACATCGCTAATAAAATATTATTTTCATCATCTGATGAAGATGAATTGCTTGAGTTACAGTAATTTACTTCTATATTATCCATTGCTAAAAGATAAATAAAAATAAAATTTGCCATTGAGAAAAGAGAATAGAAACATATAAGAATATATAATAAAATAAAATCCATTATCAGATGTATAAAATTAATTATGTGATTGTGAATTATGTTGAAATAATATTATTAAATTTAAATATAAATAAATTATAATTTAATTTGATTATATATTTCAATAATTAATATTAATTTGTGAATTATTTGATCTTGAAGCAAAAATGTTAGTGGAAAAGTCGTAAACATACTTTGAACTGTACTTGTGGTGTCTAATCACTTGTTTTCCGTAGTAGCTTTAATTACATTACTTTAATATATACTTAATATATGAAGTTATAATTATACAAAAATAATTAATAATAATATTATGATATGCGTGCACTTACCAACATGCGACACTCGGTTATAACTTTTAAGGTTAGGATACCTCATGATATATATGATATATTTATATAAAATAATGAGGAATTATTTTCACTACGATAACGAATCATCCATTAAAATCCCAGTGGGCACAAAGACAAAAAACGTTCTTTAAACGTCTGTAAAACGTTTAATGTCTGCCAATTTATGTTTTAAGAACGTCCGACTGTTCCAAAAATGTTTCGGAACATACGGATGTTCTTTGAACGTAAATTGTCAGACATTAAACGTTCTACAGATGTTTAAAGAACGTCTTTTGTCTTTGTGCCCACTGGGATAGTAATATTGCGGTATTTCAAAGTTTTTAATATTCATTTTTATTAATAATAAACATTAAATAATAATTTTTAATTTTATTCAAACTCAAATTTGGCGGTAATTTTATTGCAGTCGCGCCAGCCGAAAATTGTGGTGTGGACAATTTCACGAATTTCACGGCTGCCTGCGCAGGCAGGCAGGCAGCAGAGCTGTGACCGTACCTTAAACGTACTTTTAGAATTCCGTGGTGTGAACAAACAATTAGATAAGCATGCATTGAGACAAAGGTATTAACATACCTTTAGATTACCATTGTGTGTTGTCCGTTAGGACAACTTTCTGTACAACTATTGTGTTAATAGCTTAACGCTTAAAAAGACACGTAAGTCCCCCATATAATTGACATTCCAATTTATAGAATTGAATCCATATTTTGTAAAAAAGATATTTTTAATTATTTAAAAAAAATTAATCGCTCATAATGTTAGGAAGAACGTGCAGAGATGTATGTAAGTAATTTTAATATTTTTTCATTCATGAATCAACAACATTGTGCAACATTTTTAAGGTTATCGAATGTGCACTAAGTTTTGACTTCAGTTTCTGAAAGTACTCATCAAAACTAGCAAAAACCTATTTCAGTTTTGCTATAGATTAGCTCAGATTTGAATTTTATTGAAATATGATTTTTTGTAATTATCTCTCTTTAAATACTGAACAAGAAAAAAAATTAAATCCAAAATTATTCAAGTTATGAATTTTTTTTACCTTTCAACATTTCTCGGTTCTCTGACATGGGCCGGTGGGAACGCTGGCTATTAAAATTTTATAAAAAAATTTTGCAATAGTTCTAACAAAAAAAAACTTAGTCGAAAATTGTTCCAGTTATGGATTTTTTCTGACTTTTTCACATTTTTATGTTTTCTGAAACAGGCGGCTGGGAACGCTGGCTATTGAAAATTTAAAAAAAATCGCAATGATCATTATTTTAAGAGCAATAATTGCTCTTTAATTTCTGACAATGAAACATGAAATTGGTTAAAAATTATTAGAATTGTGCATTTTTTAAGCTTTTTTAAAATTTTATATATGGACTGATAGAAACGCTGGCTATTAAAATTTTATAAAAAAATTTCGCAATAATCATAACTTTGAAAGCAATAATCCCTCTTTAATTCCTGACAAAGAAAAAAAATTTTGTTGAAAATTGCTAAAGTTATTATTTTTTTTTACTTTTTCACATTTTTTAGTTTTTTGAAACGGGCGGGTGAGAACGCTGGCTATTAAAATTTTACAAAAAAATTTGTGTTATCAATTTTTTTGGACTTTTTTCGAAACCAAATTTGTCGACCAAATTTTTTTTTCTTTGTCAGAAATTAAAAATGAATTATTGCTTTTCAAATTATGACTACTGCGGATTTGTAAAATAACTTTTAATAGTCAGCCTTCCCACCCTGCCGTATCAGAAAACCGAAAAATGTGAAAAAGTCAGAAAATAAATTCACATTTTGAAAAAATTCAAATCCGAGCTAATCTAGCAAAACTAAAATAGGTTTTTGATAGTTTGGATAAGTTCTTTCAGAAACTAAAGTCAAAACTTAGTGCATATTTTATGTGTTGCACTGTATAATCACCCTAGTGAAAATAAATCCACAAAAGGACAGAAATTTAGTCAGATTCTCTAATTTGAGTCACAAAACGTAAGATTAATTCATCTTTAGTCAGAAGACTTAAAAAAAATTCGATATTCCTAATCTATATTCATTGAAGCGAGCTTCGTAAGAATGCAATTCTATTGTGAAAAAACGGCTAGGTATAAATTTAAAGTTTAAATGGTACTTTGAATTTACTTACTATCTTTTGGTGGGGGACTGTATAATAATTAAAAAATTAAATAAATTCAGGGTGCCCACCATTTTTTCGTTACAAAATTCCCTGACTTTCCCTGACCAAACGAACGTTTTTCCCTGACTTTTTAAAACTGTCATATGCTGATGATTTAATAAAATAAGGTTAAAAAGGGTTCAGTAAATACAAAGAATAATTTTTATGAAATTAATACAATTAATGACGCCGTAAGACTTAATATTTTTGAGCCGGGACTAGATTTTATGGAATGACCCTGTAAATTTGTATTACAAAATTCTAATATTGTTTAACGTGAAATATATACATTTTCATTAATTTAAAATCTATTTTTAGATATTATAATTTAAAAACTTTTGAAATTTCATAATTTATACAAATTGAGAGTCAAATATTTTAAAATACAATTATTATTTTACAATTTTTAAGTAAAATTATTTTATGATTACTTTATAAATAACAATTTCATGAAACTTATTATATACTTATACATTTTCAATGGTTTCTGGTCACTAAAAATCAGAACTTTTTCTTTAATTCTAGAAATGTAATACTTAATCTAGTATTGTTGATAAAATTATCTGAATTTTTCGGTTCACATCAATTATCTATAGTTTTCATGTTTTTTCTTAAACTCCCTAATTTTTGTTTTCTCATGATGCAGCTTTTGCATTTCTGATGAAGTACAATTTTTCAAATGAATGTTATATAGAGTAGGAAGGTCCAAAAAAAAAGTCGGAATTTTTTTGCTCTCACCCCCTAGGAATAAAGTTTATACAAAATAAATTAATATTAACCCGTGCCTCAAAGCCCCTCAAATTTCCTATATATTGGGGAAAAACTTTATATAATGGGGAAAAAACGATTTTTCGTATATTTAATATAAAATCAAGAGGAAATGTTTTTTTCAGTCGGTCCAGAATATTTCTTTTTTAAATTGTTCAAATAATAAAATCCTCTTAGATATTTTACAAATTTTGTATTTTGTATAGATTATTAAAAAGTCTTCAAAGAAGCAAAAAACGGTAATTTGTTATTAGTTATTATCATATTTTCTCATCGATTGTAATTCAATTGGTTTAATGAATTTATATATTTTTTTTTGATAGATTCATAAAGCCAATTGTATTACAATAGATGAGAAAAATGATGGTAACTAATATAAAAATAATAAATTACCGTTTCTTGCTTTTTTAAGGATTTTTCAAAAATCTATAAAATATATGAAAATTAAAAAAGTTGTTAAATATATAAGAGGACTACATTCCTTGAACACTAAAAGAGAAACATCCTGAACAGACTGGAAAAAAAAATTTCTCTAGATTGTATATTAAATTAACAAAAAATCGTTTTTTCCTCATTTAAAATACATGGGAAATTTGAGGGGCTTTGAGGTACGGAGTAATTAATTTATTACCAAAAAAGCAGGGGTATTTTTTTAATAAACTTTAATCCTGGGGGTGACAGCAAAAAAATTCCGACATTTTGGTTTTCCTATGTATTTTTGGACTACCCTAATATGGAGTCTCAGACACGTTTTGAACGATTTGTCTTGAAATTTTGAAGGTGAATTTCTGTTTCAAGTACGCTTTGTAATTGCAACATTTTCCTCATAGCTCAACTCTGACTCACGGGTCGTTTTGCGTCTTAGGGGTACAGAACACAAACGCGTGACACAAACACCAAATTATTTTACACATTTTCACATATCATCTTAATAAACAATTGTTGTAAACTTATTTCGTCTTTGGCATATTTCTTATATATTTAGTTCTCTTCTTTTGACACCACAAAAAAATTTTTGTTGACCCTACATCACAGAGTCACACAATACTCAAGTATACGTTCGTATACTTCACTGCGACTTATAGGAAAAGTTTGTGTACACTAGCAGCAAGAATTTACGTACAAAGACAGATGGCGCTAGTGTGATAAAACAAAATAAACGCGTTGGCTCAACCTTAACCACTGACCAACCTTGACAACTCTCCCTACTACAGGATTTTAACTATTTCCTTAAGTAAAAACTTAATTAAACCTAAATATAAATAATTACAATAAATATTAACTAGTGGTCACAACCGGTGTTTCTACCCTATACTTACAATATTCTTTTTATCATTTTTTCAAAATTATGAAAAAATTTTTTTTTATTTTTTAAAATAACTTTTTTCTATATAGAAATTTTAATTAAATTCTTGTTAAAATTATATTCTTGGCACACAAGGATAGAGATAACAAACTTTTGTGAAGCTATTGTGTTTTAGTTTTAAGAAGTAGCAAAATAGAGGTTATTCGAAGCGCGACACATATTTTATTTAAATTCCCTGACTAATGGACACCCTGTTGATTTTGGTGGAAAATAGTCACAAACCCTAATCATCAAGATTGAACAGGAGCATATAAAAACCTTTAGTCAGAATTAACCAAAACCTTCAGGAAACGTCAAAATTTGTGACGTTTCCTCATTACAGCTGATGTTATTTTGAGTAGGGCAAATAAATAAGTAAATTAAATCGTTTAACAGCACCTGATTCCACTACACCGTCATCACCTGTCATCCCTGAGTCACCTTCACCACTGGCATCACTATCAACTTCACCACCGGCATCACCATCATCTTCACCACCAGTATCACCATCACCTTTACATTCAAACTCACCTCAATCATCTCCTCCAGCATCACCATCATCTGATATTTATTATACGCCAAAGTAGTAGAGCTACACGGGTTCTGGCTCAGTTACCGACCGTCGGTAAGGTAGATTTCCCAATAGCTCACTTTCAGATGGGTTAGAAGGGATGTTCTGTTTTACCGACCGAGTTTTAGTACCGGCCGCCACCGCTAGATGGCGCCACTTTATTTTTTGTTTAATTTAAACCCCCTTAGAGGGGTATTAAAATTTTTATTTTTGAATTTTCAAGTGGGTTAGAAGGGATGTTCTGTTTTACCGACATCTGAGTTCCGGCTGCCACCGAGAGATGGCGCCACATGTAAATTCTGACCCCCTTGGCGGGAAATTTAAATTTTTTATTTTTAAACTTTCAAGTGGGTTAGAAGGGATGTTCTGTTTTACCGACATCTGAGTTCCGGCTGCCACCGAAAGATAGCGCCACATGTAAATTCTGACCCCCCTTGGCGGGAAATTTAAATTTTTTATTTTTAAACTTTCAAGTGGGTTACAAGGGGTAATTTTAAATTTCGCGCTACTAAGTGAAAGTTGGTTGGTGTTCTACTTTACCGACCTCGATGATAATTCTCCTATAAAAATGCCGGTAAATTACCGACTGATGGTAAGTTACCGACCGATGATAAGTATTACCATCAGACAAAAAATGGAATACTTGCTCTACCATTTTGATACTCTAACGAAACGTGGTGCGGGTGTTGAAGTAGTGAATGAAGGAATGAAATGGGTGGATTTTGAAGAAGCGTTTGAGGGTCGTTTACAAAATAGTGCTGTAATGAATTTAGATTACAAGGATATTAATGAATTCCTTGATGATGCCTTTAGTTTATTTAAAGTTAACATTGAAAAAGCTTTAAACAGGTTTGGTCCGCTAAAAGTTTACACCGTATTGTTCGCGAAATTTGTTAAAGATTCCATTGATGGTAAAACCCAAGAAATATCAGATTTAAAGACATTCATCGCGAAAACCGGTGACATTTTAGTTACAACCCCATTAGAAGAGTGGTACAATGTTTATGTTAAACAAGTAACCTTAAAAAGAATGGAGGAATTCCAAGAAAAAGATTCTAATTGGAGACTTCATTCTATTGAAAGGTTGGAGGTTAACATTAACAAGTACAATCCCATGCGCGCAAGCTCTTATATCAATTTGCCAACTTCTATCAATCGAAAGCATGCCTGCATTAATGTCCAAAATGCTGATAACCAGTGTTTTAAATGGGCAATATTGTCAGCACTGTACCCAACAGACAAAAACGCGGAACGAGTTTCAAAATATAGACCCTATGAAGATACACTCAATTTTAGTGGTATCGAATTTCCTGTTTCTCTCAAAGACATTTCTAAATTTGAAACCCTAAACAACATTTCCGTCAACTTGTATGGTCTTGTTAAAAGAGATGAGAAGTTTACAGTTTCACCTCTTCATCTTTCGTCTCAAAAGAAGATGAATCACGTCAATCTTCTTCGAATTGAAGATCACTACATAGATGAAAATCTAAGTGAAGACGATGATGATGAAACTGATATACCTCTCATATCGTTTAACTACCATTATGTCTGGATAAAGGACTTGTCGAGACTTGTTAGCTCAGACTTATCAAAGCAGAAAAATAAAAAATTCATTTGCGATCGTTGCTTACATTATTTTCTGAATCAAGAAAAACTCACTCAACATGAACAGCATTGTCGAAAAATGAACGACACAAAGATTAAATTACCCCAAAAAGGTCAAAATACAGTCGAGTTTAAAAATTTTCAAAATAAGGAACGTGTTCCCTTCATCATTTATGCCGATTGTGAAAGTCTGTTAATTCCCTCGGCAGCACCCCAAGAACCAAAAAATACTGAGGTGTTTCAAAACCATAAAACTCTCAGTATTGGTTATTACTTAAAGTGTAGTTTCGATGACTCTTTGTCTGTGTACAAAGCATCACCTAGAGATGAGGAAAATCCAGCTAAATGGTTTTCTTTAGAATTAAAGAACTTGGCTGATAATCTAGATTCCATATTCAAGAACCCAGTTCCCATGGAAACATTAAGTCCACAGCAGTTGGCAGCTTTTCGAAATGATATGACTTGTCATATTTGTAAAAAGAAAATCGCGTATGGGGATGTGAAAGTACGAGATCATTGCCATCTAACAGGGAAGTACCGCGGACCCGCTCATCAAGATTGTAATATTAATTACCATGAATCGCAGATCATACCTGTTGTTTTCCATAACCTAAGTGGCTATGATGCACATTTCATTATTGAAGCTATTGCTACAGAATTTGATGGTACTGTTAATCTACTTCCTATTAACAAAGAAAAGTACATTAGTTTTACTAAAAATGTAAAAGGTGGTTTTCTAAAATTTCGTTTTATTGATTCTTTCAAGTTTATGGCATCATCTCTAGATAAGTTAGCATCCTATCTCGATGAATACAAAATTGTAAATTCCGTTTTTTCAAACAACAGCGACGATAAAATCCAATTGTTGACGCGAAAAGGAGTTTTTCCTTATGAATACATTGATTCAAGGGAAAAACTCGATGAAACAGAGTTACCGCCAAAAGATAAATTCTACAGCACATTAAACGATTCAAATGTTTCCGATGAAGACTATGCACATGCGCAGAAAGTGTGGAGTGAATTTAGTTGTCAAAATCTTGGTGATTATGTATACTTGTACATGCAAACCGACATACTGTTACTCGCGGACATTTTCGAAAATTTCAGAAACCAGTGTTTAATCTCGTACGGTCTTGATCCAGCACACTATTATACTACACCGGGTTTGACTTGGGACGCAATGTTAAAGTATACGGAAGTAAGACTTGAACTCTTGACAGACATTGACATGGTAATGTTTATTGAACGAGGAATAAGAGGTGGTGTAAGTCAATGTACAAATCGATATGCAAAAGCTAACAATCATTACATGGAACAATTTGATGAAAATGAGGACACGTCTTACATCGTATACTTTGACGCAAATAATCTATACGGTTGGGTAATGGTTCAACCGCTTCCCTATGGTGGCTTCAAGTGGGTAGAGAATGTTGATAATAGTTTTGATTTCAATGTTGCAGACGATGCGCCTACAGGTTACATTTTGGAAGTTGATTTGGATTATCCAGATCACCTTCATGATAAACACAGCGATTTTCCATTTTGTCCGGAACGCTCGAAGCCACCAGGGTCAAAAGAGGAGAAGCTCCTAACTACCCTCCTACCAAAACGAAAGCACGTTCTCCATTATCGTGCCTTAAAACAAGCTATTGCCAACGGTCTCGTGTTAGTTAAAATTCATCGCGTCTTAAAATTCGAACAATCCACTTGGTTGAAAAGTTACATTGACTTTAATACCACGCGAAGAACAAACGCTAGTAATGAATTTGAAAAAAACTTGTTTAAATTGATGAACAACGCGGTATTTGGCAAAACAATGGAGAACGTGCGAAAACATGTGGACATTAAACTTGTGACAAAGTGGGAGGGTAGATACGGAGCTGAAGCCCTAATAGCAAAGCCTAACTTCCACAGCAGAGCCATCTTTAATGAGAATTTGGTTGCTGTGGAACTTAGGAAAATGGAGGTACTAATGAACAAGCCGGTGTATGTTGGCTTGACTGTTTTGGATGTGTCAAAAACGCTTATTTATGATTTTCATTACGATTACATGTTAAACAAGTATGATGAAAATAAATTGAAATTATTGTACACCGACACCGATAGCCTGATTTATGAAATCAAGTGCTCAGACATTTACGCTGATATGAAGCAAGACATTATGAAATTCGACACTTCTGATTATCGGGTTAATAACGTGTACAATATTCCGCAAGCCAACAAAAAGATATTAGGTCTCATGAAGGATGAATGCAATGGAAAAATTGTAACAGAATTTGTTGGCTTGCGGAGCAAAATGTACAGCGTCCGTGTAGAAGGGAAAGATTTAATAAAAAAGGCTAAAGGTGTCAAAGCAGGAGTTGTTAAGAAAAATATCGACTTTGATGATTATGTTTATTGTCTTCGAAATATTAAAATGCAATCTAGAACGCAATATTCAATTAGGTCGAATCTTCACAAAGTACAAACTTTGAAACAAACGAAAATTGCACTAAGTCCTTATGACGACAAGAGATACTTGATAGAAAAAAGCACCGACACCCTCGCATGGGGTCATTGTAAAATTATTGAAATTGACGACGATGAAAATAAACTTATGTAAAAAGATTTGTTACAGAAAGGAGAAAGAAATGGTTGTTTGAATAAAAAGATGTTCAATTTATTTTATGTCTACTTTATTAGAAAAAACGTTATCCTATTTACATTAACTTATTTTAACTATATTTTAACTTATTTTAACTTATTTTAACTTTACTTTAACTTATTTTAACTTATTTTAACTAAATTTTAACTTATTTTAACTTATTTTAACTAAATTTTAACTTATTTTAACTTTACTTTAACTTATTTTAACGTTACTTTAACATTCGTTTAACATTACTTTAACTATACTTTAACGTTACTTTAACATTACTTTAACGTTACTTTAACTATATTACATATCAGATTTTTTTATCCAACTATTATGTGAGCTATCGAATCCAAGCCATTTCACGTATACATCATTACCACGAGTCTTGAGAACTTTTTCTACGAGGTAAACATCTGGATATTAGACTTTCAGCAATTCTTCTTCGTAGAAACCACCTTCGATGGGTTGATTTTGGTAATCTTTCAGCTTGTATGTAACTGGTTTTGTTGATTTAACTTTATCCACGGTGAATACTTCCGTTGTCCAGTTGGGAGTATATCCTTTTTCAAAGATATTTTTAAACTTGCTAACTCGAACTCTGTCTCCAACTTTGAATTTTGATCTTTTCAGCGGAATTCTACGTAGTTTACGGATACGTCTCAGCAGTTCTCTTGTATCTTCTACGGTGACATCTTTGGGTTTCATACCAATAGTAGGATGCTTTTTATTATTGTACTTTGTCATGAGAGTTGGTAAAAGATTAATCCATTTATAATTGC